TTTTACTGTTTCTATAGAACATGTACTGCACCTGGTATATAGAAGGCACTCCATAAACAATGGGTTAACTGAGCTAGAGAGTATATGACCAGGGTCTGAGTCTGAGTCTGTCTTGCTTCACAGTATGGCTGCTATAGTCAGGCCTGCCACAGCCCAAGGCCTGTTTCTTTCTAATCTGTCTGGATGAAGAAGGAATTGTTTAGTAGGTGATGTCATTTGTGTGATGCTTTGTCTATTTCTCCATATCCAGCATGCTATTAGTGATTTTTCATTTTGTCAAACTGCATTTTCTCTTTTCAACTAGAATTCAAACAAAATAATTTTAGATAACATTCTAAGAACATTTGGAAACATGACATTTCAGGTCTATTTTCCCCCTTTGCTTGAAAAAAGTATATACAGCTATAATTACTAATTGCTGTGCTCTAAGTAGAGACAGATGATACATATGTTTGTGACAATTTTCCAGAGGGAGAGCTAAGTAACCAGGCTCATTTTTCCATAATGTGAATGTTATTCACAAACTATTACCATAATTGATGCACCAAACCACTGTAGAGTAAATAATGTGTTGTGTGTGGGAAGCAAGCTAGTAGTCAATGAATATTAAAGAACAAAACCTCATTTTAAAAGAGAAACTGTAATTATAATCATTCTGAATTCATGCTGCACAACCAGTTAAAATAACTTGGCTGCCATTTATCTGTGTAATTCTGTGTATAAAGGGAGTAGGTATATGATTTGTTATATAGAAATAAGTATTTACAGGCACATTTTTATGAAAAGACACAATATCGAGCTTCAGAATCAGTAGTTTTCCAAAAGCATTTATTGCAGAGATGAACATGCAGAGTTAATCAGTGAAATGTATATTGATGGAAAAGATCACCATTTCCATTATCTTATCTTTTGCTTTTGTAGGTGTTTTATGTCTATTTGGAATATCGTATCCCTTTCCGTGGACCTAATGAGCCTCTGTATTTTCTCCGAAGCTTCCTTTTCATCAGAAGTTATTCTTGTCCACCTTTAATCCCTCTTATTGCTTTCTAGATGCTCATCACCTTCTGTGTGTGGTATATTGATTTGCACTTTTGGGATTTTTTGTTTTATAATAGGAGATCATAAGTCATTTCTTGTGTGTATCATTAGTCTTCTCAACCAGACTAGGATTTCAGGCTCAGATTATTCTGTGTGTGTGTGTGTGTGTGTGTGTGTGTGTGTGTTGGGGGTGTGTGTGTATATATCATTCCTTCTGGTGTACCTTGTGGAGAATGGTTTGCTGTCCATGTGTTTGCTAACTCCTCAGTATGTATTGTTGGTTACCTGTTTTTGTGCATCAGATACTGCATTATTTTTGTAAAATCTTTACATTTTGTGTTTGGCTACCAGTGTCTCCACAGAGTCTTGAATGTAACTGGTAAGGATCAGATCTGTTGGTGTAGAGTTTTTGATGGAACACTCAATTAGCAATCTGTAGTATGGCTTATGTAAAATGTATAACTCCTATCTCTGAGAAGTTCTGAAGTCTAAGGGGAAAGTGCTTCCCTGTCTCTTGAATTTGAGTGTTTTGGGTGCATCCATTTTATAGATAAACAAGGTGTTTGTATCAGAGCTTACTTTTATGTTTTAAAATAGATCATAGTGTACCTATTCTTAGGAACCTTTTAGGAAAATCTCTTTAACATTGATCCTGTTGTTAGTTGTAATCTCAGTATATTCTGATAATTTCCTTTGAATATGTAACTGTTCCTTTCACACTATGGGCATCTGTTGTCTTCTCTTTTTATAGCAATGAAAGTATGAACAGATTCCAATAGGAGTTTTTAACTCAAAATTCTCTGACCTTAATGTCAGGCCAATTTATTTAGCTAGTTTATACAACTAGACATATTTCTATAATAGAAAAGTGTTTCTTAACATATTGTTTACAGAAATGTTTCTTGACATATTGTTTACAGAGATAGAGCCCACATTGTAAGGCTATGTAACGCTTCCTCTCAGAAGAAAATGATTGACTTTAGCATGATTTCCTCCCTTTAACTTAAGCAGGTGAACCTTTCTGAGGTCTTTTTGGAAAGTTCTGAGGAAAAAAAATAACAAAACTCATACAACCTCAAGGAATTCTAAGCATCAAGGAGCACCTTTGTGAAGGTTATTGGTTCAAGCACTGACACTATTTGCTATCCTTCAACACGTGCCGGGGCATTATTCATGTATCCAGCTCTGTGATAGCTTGTTTTTGCTTGCCCTGATGATACGTATGGCAAGGGAGGAACATTATCCAGGAGTGAACACTGTAGAGGAGGGAAGGAACCCTGGAGCTGACCTTTATAGAGGCGGTTCTCATCATCAACTTTTCTTCCTTACAAGATGGCTTGGTGTCCCTTGAGATCATTCTCCCACCTTCAAAATCCTGGATGGGCCTCTTGCCTGGTTCCCTTAAGGACTCTAAACCACTTAGCTTGGAGCTGGTGCCATTTAATTCTGTTCTTGGCAGTGGGCCCTGGCTTCTTTCCTGCTAGGCCCTGTGCCTCTTAGGAGCAGAGAAGAGGTCAGATGCAGATAACACAGGCATGATTTCTGCCTCCTGAAATGCTCAGATGATATGTACTTCTCCGTCCCCCTAAAGATTTAAGGAAGTACACATTTATCATGGGATGTAATGAGTAGGAAAGTGCATGGGGCTTTCTTTTTCTGCTGAATAGCAGATTGTAGGATAGAAACAGTTCTGTTTACAATTCAGCTCTATCTTTGTACTTTGCATCGCAGTTGAAGTTATTTTAAGCTTTACTGTTAAGCTAAACTTCTGAGTTGTTTCATTTGCAAATTCTTTCTTTGAGGGTCAAAGGAGACTTTTGTAAAATGTTCGGGTCTGAGAGAATTTTGAGTTAAGTAAAGGTGAGCGTGTGCATGTGTGCATGTATGTGTGTGTGCGTGTGTGTGCACAGCTCATGCATAAATGCCTGTGTGCTTGCTTGGGTAGGGACTAGGAGGGCTGAAAAAGAGAAAGTCATTCTTAGCAGAAGAAAAGCACATACAAAGGGTGGAAGACGTACGGTTTTTGACAGATGAATGAATCCTTCTGAAGGTTTTGTAAGAGCTGTGACCAGCTCTGTTTGCTGAGAAAAGGGAAAGTCCTTGAGCACCCATCATACCTCTTCAGACTCTCTTAGAAAGCATTCAGATGCTCTGCCAGAGGAAATGATGTGTTCCAAGTACAGCTGCAGTGGAGAGTTGTTTTTGTGCAGCTGAAGCAATTCCTCCACATAGATCATCCCATTTTAACAGTAAACTGTCTGTTTAAAACAAAACAAAAAAGGTGGGTAGGAAATGGAAGGAGAAGGAGTTTATGCCAGGAAATGAAAATAAGTTGCTGCAGAAGCCTGTCTTGGTTGTGGTTTCAGAGTTAAGAATAAGTTATTACTACTAATAATAAGGGCTCACTTGATAGTTTGTTATATCTCTGTGTGTGTTTTTATGAACTTTTAATTTTCCAGAAAACATTAAGGATAAATTAGAGAACACACTCCTGTTGGAGTAGGTGACCGTCTTGCAGTTCACAAGCCATATAATCTTTCACCACTTAACACCTTCCAAGGAATCGGGTAGACTTCTGGTGTCCTCTCTGGTCCTCTTCCCTGGGATGTCAGGCTTTGGACTTAATCAGAGGATAATTAAGGCTGTATCATAGCAGGTGGAGTTTCTGAGTGGAAGTCTAAGAAGTGATGTTTCTGTAAGTATCTTTAGCTGACTGTAACTACTAAGCAGAGGTTAGGAGGTTGTGATGTAATTTAAGGTGACATTGTGGTTACCTTTTATCAAGCTCAGTTGTGAGCCTGGAGCTATGTTAACTGCTTCACAGCTATGAGCCTATTTAATTCTCAAAGGAGTCCTTATTTTAAGATAGGTTTGATTACCCTCCGTTTACAGATGGGGAACTTGAGGTTGAGAGATAAGTGGTTAGTTTGCAGTTACACCCAGCATTTGGCATGGCTGGGATTGGAACCAGGGGCCCTCAGTCTTCAAAGCTCTTACGTTTAACCATTGCCTGATGCATTGTACTCTCTCCTGTAAAGTAGCCTTTTCTCCCTGCCGCCACTGGTTCATTTCCTTTTCCTCTTTTAAGATACTTTAAACAGAACAAAACCAATAATCTACCTCCTAAATTGAGGTTGATCTCCCTCCTTCCTATCCATTAAGTAATGTCCTAGATTCATGCAAATATTAGATATTTGGGAGAAAAATGTCCCTACTCTCTTTAGCTCTAAGAAAATTTGTCTGTTCTTATTAATTCCTACTGTTCCACAATCCTACTATATTACCTGATATGTATAATACAGTTACAGTCTTCTCAGGGAGACTCTTCTATGCAGTGGCATGCTGGAGCCGGGAAAGCTGGTAGACCCAGCTCAGACATGGACCAGCTGTGAGACCTTGGTGAAGTCACTTTATCCTCTGGGCTTTACTTCTTTTATCACTGTAGTGTTTGATCCAGGTCAGTTCGCAGCCTGGAAGGCACAGCCTTTTTCAGGACACTAAATAGGGCACATGTGCTACCCATTTGCGTGCACACTATCCTTAGGCATTTGTTGAAAAGATGGTTAATAAAATGTAAACTCATTAAAAAGCATTACTAAATTCTTACATTTTATGTTTCTTTGATCCATGAATGACTGCTAAAATTTGGTATGTTATCAATGGGGAATTTGTTATTTCTTTTTGCATAAAAGGGGTCCTCATGCTAAAGATTAAGCAATACTGGTTTTTGTGAACTTTTTAAAAGTCCCTCCCTGGGTAGAATATTCATAAAACCTATGAATGAGTCTTGACTACTTGATTACCCAGATTCTAGCTTTTTGGAATCTTTCATCACCTTACTTTTTTCCCTTCTCAGTGAGCTTTTGGATTTAGGACAAAGGGGGAATGATCACAAGGAAATAGATTGACATTTTAAAAATCTCTACTCTTTTACAATCTTTCCTGAAGACATGATGGTTTTTTTTTTTTTTTTGCCATCATGTCTCTAAGTACAGTTGGTCAGTTGTCACTCTGTCACCTTACCTTCCAACCCCATAATTCCTGTGAAACCCTGGACACCTCACTGTTTTTGCAGATTATGAGTTCCTCTGGCCTCACTCCTTTCCTTGTTCAGCTTGCAGTACCTGAGTAATCCCCTCACCCCTCACCACCTTCCTTATTAGTAACCCCAGTTCCCTGAAGCTCTTGTCCTGCCCATTTCCTCCCAGCAGCATGTCACTCATCTGCCCTGATGACCCTGTGTTCCCCTTAGAAGAATCACAACTCTATCTGGACTGTTACTGTAGATCAGTGAACTTCAACATCTGATAGCTTTTTCAGTGTTGCCCATCAGTGCATTTACCGAGTTGCTTTTTCGATGCTTTTGGTGATAGTTCCAAATGCTCCCCACTGTCTCCATGGCTATAATGATAGGAAACATTAATACAAAACTTGGTCGTGTTGGAGAAAATGTGCTAAGGACTTTACATGGATTGTCTCATCTCCGTTCTTGCTAAAGGATCTAACTTTTCCTTCCAACCATCCAGCAGCTACTAGTGAGGCATCAACTGTGTCTATGCATGGTGCCACAGACTGTAGCTATTATTGAGGCAGATTGGGGACTTGCTCTCAAGAGACCTCTAATTCAGAGGGAGATGCACAGAAGTAAACAGGCAGCAATAACATTGTCTAATAAGTGCTAATGAGGGGAGAAGTTCAATACACTATAGATGCCCCCAGCCCAAACTTAGGGATGAGGATAAGGAAAACTTGCAGGAAGTTATAGCTAAGTGCCAATCTAAAGGACGAGAGACTATGAGGGAGGAACATAAGGGTGTTCTGGACAAAAAGAATACCTGGCTGCTGGAAAGATTTCAGGGAATTGAGAGGGGCCAGTAGGAATAGAGCCATTGTTCTCAGAGCAATTAGAGGTCTTATTTTTGGTGTGAATTCCATAGACTCTCTTTTCTACCTTCTCTGTGATCTGTATCCTCACTTGGTTACTAACTGGAATTAGAATCCACTGAGATCCTTCACTGTACATGGATCTCTAAGACACACTTGCCATCAATCTCAGTGTGAAGTTTTACTATGCACTTGTGTAGCTGCTCTGCTGAAATACTATTAGACTGTTCAGGTTAGTGTGGAGGACAATGCTTCTTCAAAATTATCACAGGGAAGTTTGTAATAACTGTGACTGACTTGAGTAGGGGTAGGGTTTTTCAGGAGGGTCTTTCAGTGGTAATCACTCCTAAAATTTTGAATGCTTAAATGAAGCTCCTGCTCCGCTCGATGATAAGTGCAGCTTCTTTTTCCATGAGGACGTTTAGTAAATGACGTTTTAGGTCTCAGCAAGTGTTACGCCTTCAGACACCTTGGCTGAGGAAAGCCTGATGTGCCTCCAGTGAAGGATTTGTAGGACCACATCTTTGATGCTTCTGCAACACAGAGTTAGGGAAATGAAACAGTGGGTCCATATGTGCTCCTGATCCATTGCCAACAGGAAAGGGACTTAGCCCCCACGTACATGTTGACCCTTCTGGTCATGGTAAAGCCACCCACTAGCTATAATGCTATCGTCAGCAGTAGAAAGAAGAGGGAGCGCAAAGCAACTGAATGGTAAAATATTTCAGACCTTTTCGGACCACTTTGGAAGATGGAAGCTGATAACATCATATATCCAAATTCCTTTGCATTGCTGTCTGTCTCTTTACAGGTAGGGAATAGTTTACAGCATTCTGCGGAATCTACTTTTGATTCCAAATGGATCTTAATTATTTTGTATTGGGGAAATATTTTTTACTTGGCAATAGAAATGTTCCATAATATTATTTAATATTTTGGGAATCACTCTTTCCTATGTGCCTGAACATCTCGAGCACATTTACCCTTAGCGTGGCAGTGCCTGGGTGTCTCACGTCCACGTACGCTCAGACCATGCTCCTTGATTTCATCCCCTTCTCTCTGTTCTCTGTGTCTTTCATCTCCTAAACTGAGTGCTGATGCCATTTCACACTTTTTCTTGGAAGTTTAATGAGTTAGTGGTAGTATAACAAAAATAAAAATATTTTCTTTATGTTTCTGAAAAGAAATATGTCTATAAAGCGTCAATCATTTTTCCAAGCTGTTAGTTCCTGCTGCTGAGTACTAGGAGCTGTTCTGTCAGCAAGAACAAGTAAGGGCGAATAGTAGGAGAAAGCTGTCCCCATTTTCTTTCTCTGGTACAAGAGGTTGGAAGATGTTGTTTCAGCTGGAGAACTTAAGATGGATTCTTATTCACTGTTTGCTAAAGAGACTGTACTGCTTTTAGTGTGATAATTTTCTGTAGGCATGGAGAAAGGTCACCTCCTGATCTTGTTTTGGAGATCATGGGGTTAAATCTGTGGCAGTGTCCCTTTCCTACACACAGGCTCTTGTCAAAATAATGTTTGGCCAGGTGTTAATCTGTGTCCTGAGGGGAGTGCTGGAATTCATTATTCATCCCGTGGGAGTAGGGGTCAGAGGAGAAGGTCGTCCTTCTGGGAGGTACCAGGGCCATAGCTTGCCTCCTGCCTTTACTGACATGTGCCATTTGTGAGGAGGGCAGTTGAAGTCCATTTGAGGAATTCTCTTGTCAGCCGGCCAACACAGAAACACAGAGGGAGCAGGAGGGAGGGAGAGGCCGGCAGCTTGGCAAGGCAGTCCTGGAGTGCAGTTTCCGGAGCAAGATCACACACAGTGTTTTAGGAGCTCAGGGAAGGTGTGCAAGAACATAAAGGGGAAGGGGGCCAGGTTTGAAAGAGTGGATTTTTTCTATTTTTTCCATCTTTTGTCCCTCCTGTCTTTGAATACTTGTCATCCTTTGGAAAACTCAGCATCGGCAAGAAGCCTTTGCTGACACACTGCTTTTTCTCCAGCACTATATTGTGGGTTTTTTGTTTTTGCTCTTCTCATTTTTATTTTCCTCTGAGGGCAGGAGGTGAGGCAATGATCAAGTCAAGCTGGTTCTATGTTAAGTTCAAGTATGCAGAGAAGGTAAGTCAATATGGTTTCTTTTCCCAGGGGAAACCTGCCACCTCCCTCCAGTCTTCTCATGTTGATGGGCTCCTCTGGCCACTTGGGGAAGTGAATGAAGCTGAGAAGTTGTATTTGTGAATGTGTTTCCTTTGGCTTAATGATTCTTGGATGAAACACAGGCTCTTTGCTTGCAATCTGACATTGCCGCTGACCAAGTGGAAGCAATCTTCAGACTCTGTTCTGGAGGCATGATTTAGAGTCTAAAGAGGAAAAATAATGAAACAACAATAACAGGAAAGGCAGGATATTCTGCTTTAGATTGAATAGAGAATTTTCAAGGTATTATTTGTTACAAAGGTAGATATATTTTTGGTTCTGAAACAAATTGACAGTCACTTCCTGTTACCTGTAGTTGGCTTAGAATTTTTTTCCTCTTTCAGTTAACTAACTGTGCTTACTCATTTGTAATCTTACTTGATTGTAGAAAGAATCCCTGTAAGGTTGTCTGACCATATATGAGATGATCTCTTTACTCTCTGTCAGGGGATTCTATTTTGTGAATGAATTTTGGTTGTACCTAAAATTTTGATGTTAAACAGTTCCACTATATTTTAATATATCATTTCTGGACTTTTAGGGGAAAAGTGTACTTCCTAATACATCTTCACTTACCTGGGGCTGTTTGACATCTTTTTGGTTCCAAATCCATATGTGTCACTTATTCTGTTGGGAATTTACAGGATAAGAAATGAGGTTTCCAGGAGGAGATATAGCTCAGAGGTAGAGCATTGGACTGCAGATCAAGAAACAGGGTTTCCAGGAGGATCCTAACGTGTGCCTTCCTTTTGAAATCTTCCTTCCTTGATTTGATCGTTGAAAATATTGGCATATTGATTGTAGAGTTGAGCTGAGGCTCTAGAGAATGGAACTGTGATGTAGCAAGATAGAAAATTGTGAGACTATCTTTATACTCCTTATGATTATATGCATAAGCACATTAAATATGCCTCTTCCATTCACCTAGTTTAAAAATAAGTTAGAACATTTTCAACTCCTTTTTACCTCATTTTTTTTTCTGTGTGAACTTGTTTCCTCTTTGTTTTTAAGACAGCAAAATTATTCCTTCTTTACCCATGTTGAAATTACAGGATTTTTATTTAAAATATCCATTTTTTATTTTAAACTCACTTTCATTGTTGACTATTAAAGCTATTGTAACTAAAATATTATCTGGTCATGTACAGGGTTGGGAAAGATTGTGGTTTGGGATATTTTTTCCTCAGTAGATTACTTTCCTTTGAGAAGCCGATTGTCCATTGTTTGCTGTTATGAGTTTTGATAACTGAAAACTGTACTCTGCCTTCTTATGCTTTCCCTTTTATCTTGAATGTTCTGTCATGGGAACCTGAAACTCAAGAGTTAAGGCACGTGAATAAACTAATGTGAAAAGGGGAAAAGCATTTCCAGAAATGATTGTCATAAAAAGAAAAAGAAGGGGAACATTAAGTTAATTGCTTCATTTGGATTACCATGCTGCTATTGCTTTAGCAACCAAACAAGGAGAGAATGCTTCCATATGCCAAGGCACAAGTGTAATATAAAGCTAAATAATGTAAGGCTCTATACCTAATTGAAGGATATTCATCTTGCTTTTATTAGGATAGAAGAAAAAGAGAAATCTCATTCTTGTTCTTGGCATGGTTATGGTGCTCTAGATCTCAGTGATTCTCTGTAGAAATTTTGTTCTTTCACAATGATTCAATTTAAAAATTTTCAATGGAGATTTTTGTTTTCCAAAACTCATCAAGATGGGCTGAGTTTTACCTAGAGAGATAATAAGTCTTAGTGCAAACACAGGGACAGCGTTGATTACAAAACAAATTAAAACCATCCTTTTTGTATTCCTCTAAAAAGCCATTCTTATAAAGGCTTTTTGATTTGGGATTTCCCTCACTATCTTTAAAAGGACAAAAAAGAAATCTCTCTCTTGATTGTCAACTACTGACCATTTTGATTTGATATAAGCTTGTAATTGTTGGAAAGGTATTTCTGCTGTGAAGTTTGTCCAAAACGATGAGAAAATACATTGCACAATCTCTTCAGTAGTCTTTCTTGTTGGAAAGACTATTCTTTCTCCATTAAATTGTTCTTGTACCTTTGTCCAAAATCAGTTTACTATACTTAAATGTGTCTGTTTTTGGGTTCTGTATTCCTCAATTGATTTAATGTCTGTTCCTCCACCAGTATCAAAAAGTCCTGATTACTGTAGCTCTTCTTTTTCAAAATTGCTTAAGATAAAATAGTACCTGTGTTTTTTCATATAAATTTTGTAATAATCTCATCTGTGTTTACAGAAAATCTTCCCGATATTTTGATAAGAATTGTGTTAAACCAGGATATTGATTTTGGGAATTTTTTTTTTAAGTACTATGTTGAGTCTTTCTCTTCATGAAGAGGTTTGTCTCTCCATTTGTTTAGATCTTGTTTGATCTCTTTCATCATTTTGTAGTTTTCAGCGTACAAGTCCTATATAAATTAGATTTATAACTATTACTTTTGGGGGGCACTTGAAATAGTATTGTATTTCTAATTTAGATTTTACATGCATATTGTCAGTATACAGAAGACAACTTATTTTCAAATGTTTTTGTATCCTGTAACCTTGATAAATGGAGTTATTAGTTTGAGAAACTTATTTGTAGATTCTTTGAAATTTTCTGTATAGACAATTATGTCATTTGCAAATAAGGACAGATTTATTTCTTCATATCTGATATCTAGGCTTTTAAAATTGCCTTTTCTTGGCTAATTGCACTGACTAGAACTTCTCATGCTATATGGACTAAGAGTGGTGAGAGTGAATATCCTTGTCTTGTTCTTGATATTTGGGGAAAAATGCATTCAGTCTTTTGCTGTTAAGTACAATGTTAGCTGTAGGATTTTTCTCTATGTTCTTTATCAAATTGAAGTAGTTCCTTTCTATCCCTAGTTTTCTGAGAGTTTTTTTTTTTTTTTATCATGATTGGATGTAGAATTTTGCCAAATGCTTTTTCTGTGTTAATTGATATGATTATTAGGTTTTTCTTCTATAGCCTATTAATATGGTAGAGTACATTGCTTGATTTTCAGATATTGAACCATTCTTGCAAACCTGGAAAAAGTCCTATTTGGTCACTGTGTGTAATTCTTTTTATGTATCACTCAATTTTATTTACTTATATTTTGTTAAGAACTTTTGCATCTATACTTATGAGAAATACTGGTCTGTAATTTTCTTTTTGTAACGGTTTTGTTATGAAGGTACTACTGGCTCCATAAAGTGGTTTAAAAGTGTTCACTCCTTATTTGTTTGCTGGAAGAGATTATGTATAATTGGTGTTGATTCTTCTTTAAACATTGTGTGGAATTCTGTAGTGAAATCTATCTGGGTCTGGAAATTTCTTTTTTAGACGTTGTTAATTTAAGAAATTAATGTTTTTAAATTTAAGTTATTGGGCTACTTAAATTACTGTTTTTCATATTTGGTGGGTTCTGGTAGTTTTTCTTTGTAAGGAAGTGGTTCACTTCATCTGAGTTGTCAAATGTAAGTGTGCAGAACTGTTGATAGTATTCCTTATTAACTTCTTGATGTCTGTATAGTTGTATTCCTCATTTCATCCCTGATATTGATAATAATGTCTGTATCTTTTCTGTGTCAGTCATACTAAATGTTTGTCAATTTTATTGATTTTTTTCAAAGAACAAGTTTTGTGTTCCATTGATTTCTCTCTCTTATTTTCCTGTTTTCAACTTAATTTTTTCTATTCTGTTATCTTAATTATTTTCTTCCATCTGCAAGCTAGAGAACCAGGAAAGCTGGAGAGTGTAGTTCAGTCTGAGTCTGAAGGCCTGAGAACAAGGGGTCCAGTGGTGTTAAGTCTCTTTTCAAGACTGAAGGCCTGAGAACCACAAGGGCTGATGTTCCCTATCCAAGGGGAGGAGATTGGATGTCCCACCTCAAACAGAAAGTAAGTTTCTCCTTCTTCTGCCTTTTTGTTCTCAATGGATTGAATGAGGTCCACGTGCCCAAATATGGCATCTTCTTTAATAAGTCTACCAATTCAAATGCTGTTCTATTCCAGAAACACCCTGACAGACATACCAAGAAATAATGTTTTACCAGCTCTTTAAGTCAACACATAAAATTAACAATCACATGTATCTTTTTTTATTTTTGCTGTCTATATTGTTTTATTTAAAGAGAGTTTCTTATGGATAGCATAGAGTTGATTTCATTTTTAAAATTTACTGTACCATTGTTCTTTCTTCTGTCCTAGTGATTTAAGATCCTTTCTTTTACCTATTTTTTTAAAAAAACAATAGGTCTATTTTTAGCCATTTAGTTCTATTCCTTTAGCCATTCTTTTAGGGTAGGTCTCCCAGCAACAATTTATTTTTATTATTTTTTTAATATGAGGATTCTTGATTACCTGTTGCTTACTGAGGAATGTTTTCACTTGATGTAGAATTTTGGTTGACAGTTTCTTTTTTCTTTTTCTTTCTTCCTTTTTTTTTTCTTCAAGCCATTGAAAAATGTTGTTCTCTTTCTTCTGGCCTTCAGGGTTTCTCATGAGATATCCACTATCATTCTTTTGCCTAGATGTCATGACTTCTTTCTCCCTGGCTGCTTCCAGAGTTTTTTGCTGTCTTTAGCAAAGTTTAACTATGATGTGTCTTGGTGTGGGTATCTTTGGGCTTATTCTGTTTGGTATTGTTATAGCTTTTTGAATCTGTAGCGTTGTATTTGCCAAATTTGGGGGTTTTCACCTATTATTTCTTCATGTACTTTTAAAGCCCTATTTTCCTTTTCCTCTGTTTCTGGGACTCTGAAGACACAATTGTTAGATATTTGGTTATAATCCCACAGATACCTGATGCTCTGTTTTTTTTGGTTTTGTTTTGTTTTTTCCTTTTTTCAGTCTTTTTTTTTTTTCTCTTTTGTTTAGATGAGTAATTTAGTTGTTCTTTCAGTTCACTGA